AGTGTTTATACCTAATGAAATGGTAAAAAATCAATGAATGAAAGAAAAAAAAACTGATGTGAATTTGCAGTGGCATCAGTAAACAAAAATTTTTATTTGTAATGTCAACAAAAAAAGTCATGTCACTACAAAACATATTTTTTGTTTTAAATACACAGCCTTTTGGTTTAATGTGGAATTCGGTGGGGTTTATAACACTGTTTTTGTCACGTTTTTTTCGTAGTTAATGCCTCTGATGCTGACTGAAGCTGAAGGAAGACCTGCAGTGAATGCCAGTTATTTTTCATCCATCAACCCAGTGGATGGAAAATGTCTGCAGGAGAAATACAGCGACAGGTTCCATGACTGTGACTTCGGCCTCCTTGCAAACCTTTATGCATGTGAGGGCAAACCTGGAAAGGTAAAAACCATGGGGACTTTGCTCTTCATATTACACTGACAGAATTGCAGCACTATAATCCTAATACTGTGATGTATTTCTTTTTGTAATGGCCAAAAATGATGAAATGGTTATCAGGAGTGAGCTATTGATAATTATTACAGAACCCAAAACTACTTGAAAGGCATTTATTGAATATTTGCGCACTGCTGTTCATGTGGATTTTTCAAATGTGTAGCGTCTGGACCAATCAGACACACCATTTTTCATTTGATTTAACAAATCAATTATTCATTAGATACTAGTTATGATTAATTATTCATATTTCCCCATGAGCTGATTCGCTACAAATGTTTTTAAAATAAGTCTCTTGCTCGCCAAGACCACATTTATTTGATTAAAATACAGTAAAAACAATAATTTTAAGTATTACAATTTAAAATAACTTAATTTTTATATATTTTGAAATGTAATTTATTCCTGTGATGGCAAAGCTGAATTTACAGCAGCCATTTGTCCAGTCTTCAGTGTCACATGATCCTTCAGTGATTATTCTAATGGTGCTTTTCCACTGCGTGGTATGACTCGGCTCGGCACGGTTTGCATTTCCACTGCAGTTTAGTACCGCTTTAGAGTGGGCGGGATTATTCACATGTCATTATAGTTGCTACCTAAGCCTAACCTCTACTGCCGCGACTCCTGAAAAACTTTTTAATTCCGCGTCGCCCCATCAAGCTCTCGCTGGATTCGCTCCTCTGCTATCAACGAGAGGAACGTCTGTACTTCCTCAACAGACAACGAAACAGCCATTTTTTTGGTTGTTAAAAAAAGGTGCGCTCGTTCAAAACAGCTGCGTTCGATCCTTCGCTGGCTGTGCTGATTTAAATCTAGTGGTTCTGTTGTGTCTCTGTGTCGTAAGTTCAGTGACGCAGGTAGTGACGATTCTCTCCGGCCAATCAGTGATCAGCAGAGTTTACACGTCACGTTTTGGTAACGGTACGGTTCACTTGGAACCTCAACTGAGGTGGTACTGAAAAAAGTACCAGGTACTGTACCCAGTGGAAACCCCCCCCAAAAGTGAACCGTACCGAACCGTACCGTGCCATACAATGCAGTGGAAAAGCGCCATAATATACTAATTCGGTGTTCAAGATACATTTCTTAGTATTATCAATGTTAAAAACAGTTGTGCTGCCTGATATTTTTGTGGGATGAATAGAATTCTTTGTTGAATTGAAAGTTCAAAAGTACGTTTTTTTTTTAAGCTTTTGTTTTTTTCCTTTTGAAAGTTTGTGTTTGTTTTTCTTTTTTTTGTCCACCATGGATCTGTCAGCAGTACAGTTACTGTGCCTTGACCAGAAGGACCGCTCTTTGGAGGAACATTTGGAGGAATTCCTCAGTCTCGTACCAGCAACATCGTTCCCAGATGACTGCCTCTGCAGCTTCCTGCATGCCGGCCTCAACACTGCCACCAGAAAGCCCTTGAGGGAGCTTTGCCGAATATGTAGAGTGGGTGCTGGTGTCCTGTGAATCGCTGCTCACAGTGGACATTGTCAAGGCCTCAGGCCTGCCGGTAGCCACCTCTTCCCGGGCTTGATGAGCCCGTAGCGGTCTACTATCTCTGTGTGCTCCGCTCCACCTCAACCCATCGCCCTGGCTCCTGCGCCTATGCTCCTTCCACCCTCAATGTCAGCAGTGAACATCAGGCATTTGCCCTCGCTGAGCTCCCTCGGTATGTCGGCTCTACCTGTGTCGGACATTGCACCACCTTCGCCATGGTCTTGCGGACCGTTCGCTGCACTTCGGCCCTCCACCCCTTTGGCTTGCTGCTAGCTCCGCCCTCCCTCAGGCTCCACCTCTGCCCTCGGTCACTCCCGCTCAACCTCTGCCCTCTGTTTCTCTGCTTCCACCTCAGGGGGTCGTCCCTACGGCTCTGTCGCGGCCGCCCAGGTCTTCGGTGTCTCTCCGCTTCATTGAATCTCCAGGTGCGTGGTGGGCTCTTCCCTCCACGTCATCGTCACCTCCAGTTGTCCCCATGGTGGTGACTACATCCCCATGGATCCTCCCTCCTGTGACGCCGCCGTGGTGCGCAGTCTCAGCTGTGGCCTGGATCAGTGACCATCTTCCTCTTCTCAAGGCTACATCTTGGACTTCACTTTCACGACCATGCTGGGCTTTTTTGTTTGACCTCCTCCCGGATGTCCTTCCTCCTCCAGAGTCTCATCCGTTTTCCATCCTTCGGCGCATGGTCGTACCTTCTGGAAGGGGGCGTTCTGTCACACACATGCACACTCTCTATGTGGACTTTGTATATGTTTGCAGCGTTTTCCCACCTAAGTTAAATGGTTGTCATGGTTATTGATTTTGATTGTATTATGTTCAGCTGTGTTTGCCTTATCACTGTCCCTATTTAAGCTAATGCCTTTTCAGTTTGTGTTGTCCGGCCTCGTGTACACTACCCTGGTTTTGTGTGAGTTTTCCTGTATTTCTGACAGCCTGAGAATTATTACATTAAAACACCTTGGATTCTAGTATCTTTGTCTTTGTGCGTGTGCTCTTATGCAATCGAGTTGTAACAACAACATTATTATCAAACAGTAACAAGGTTTGAAAAACTACCATTGCAGGTCATTGAGGTGAGAGCCTGCAGAAGAACTGGAGAGGACAGTCTTGTGAGCTGCATGAGAAATACCATGGAAGAACATTATGGGGAGAAGAGCGTGGCCCTGGGGGGAACTTTCGTCGTACAAAAGGGGAAGGCGAAGATCCATATTATGGTAATAAAAAAAACAAAAACATAATTTAAAAAATAAACATTTGGATGTCCTAAAAAAGCACAAGAGTCCAGATGTAAAAACCTGCTTAATTTTTTTCATAACAAAAAGTTCAAAGTTAATGCATTGTTTCTAAATAAGAAATCTTTGTATAAATATTATATTAAGCAATTTGTATGGATCAGATAGTATATATTTATAGCATTGTGGATTCTATAGATAATAGTAAAACAATATTTCACAATGTTACTCTTTTTAACATAGGTGAACAAAACAGACTTATTTCAGAAATGTTATCTTACTGACCCCAAACTTTTGAATGGAAGTGTACAGTCGTTTTATGCTTTTCAGTTTTAGTTGTAATACTGTGATTCTTTTTTGTGTGTGTGTTTGTGTACTGGTATTCACTACGTTATGGGGACCAAATGTCCCCACAAAGTATAGTAATACCTGTAAATTTTGACCTTGTGGGGACATTTTTTTGGCCCCTATGAGGAAACAAGCTTATAAACCATACAGAATGAAGTGTAAATGCAGAAAGTTTCCTGTGAGTGGTAGGTTTAGGATTAGGGTAAGGGGATAGAAAATACAGTTTGTACAGTATAAAAACCATTATTTCTGTGGAATGTCCCTATAATGATAGGAATACCTGTGTGTGTGTAAGCAGTCACTGATAAACTATAGAATAAAGTAGCATCTTGAACTATGATTAAACTTAAAAATGGTAGAGCAGAAATTATGTGATGGAAGAAATGATGTGAAAAATCTGTAATCTTTTCACTGCTCTGTCTTTAAGCCACCTGAATTCTCCGCCTGCCCTCTAAACACCAATGAGGATGTCAATAACTGGCTCAGGCATTTTGAAATCAGTGCTCCACTGATCTTTCAAACTGTCATGGTGTCCAGAGACCCAGTGAGTACCAACCCACCGTGTCATACCTCCATTTCACTGACAATATTATTCTGCATCTTTGCTAAATATTCCATATCAACTAATTTTTGTTGCTCACAATTCACAGGGTCTTGACCTGAGAGTGGAGCATACTCATGGCTTCAGTCATCATGGTGAGGGGGGCCATTACTACATAGACACCACTCCAAACTCAGTGGAGTACCTGGGATACTTCCTGCCCGCTGAGTTCATCTACCGTATCGACCGACCCACTGAGACACACAATATTGGCCGAGATTAAACTATTGACAGTTCTTATTTTTTATGCTATAACTATAGTGCTTATAATGCTTTTATAGTTTTTGCCCTGTTTACCAGGAGCAATTTATGTTGATGAATAGTAAATAAATATAATAAGTATTGAGAGATTTGAGCACTTTTCACAATCCAATACATTTCACAATACATTTTGTACTACTTGATATTCAGGCCATTTCAAATAGCTAATTTTTTCCCATTAATTTCACAGGGAGATTAGCCTATTAATTGAAACATTTGTTTCACAACTGCATATTTTTGCAACTGATTTGGCACAGCAAAAAAATATGGCACCAAATCAGCATATTATATGATTTCTGAAGGATCTTGTGACACTGAAGACGAGTAATGGCTGCTGAAAATTCAGCTTTGGATTCACAGGAATAAATTACATTTTAAAATCTATTAAAATAGAAAACAGTTCAACGTCTCAGAAAACAAACTGTAATACTATTTAACAGTATTGCTTTTTTACTTGTGTTGTTGATTAAATAAATGTAGCCTTCATGAGCCTTCTTTCAAAAACATTAAATCTTAATCATTCTAAACCTTTGACTGGTAGTGTATTAAACATTTTAAAAATATAGTGTGTTCATTGTAACACTCACATGTAAAGACTAAGAATAACATAGACCTTTCACCTGATCTTTTATTTAGTCGAGACCTTACAGTATATTAGGCCTGCCTCAAGTTTTCATATTGTCTACTGCCAACTAGAATTGAGGAATATTAGTACATTCTCAACATGGCAAATTTATAGGAGCTCTGCCAAAGCCTTTAACATATTATTTCTAATCGGGCATTAGGAATCAGCTCTGAAAGTTTTGGCTGTGGCAGAGAAAGAAGCTGATTGGCTACTTTCGCATGGCTCAGGAAGAGATATGAACTCCATACCATCAGCATCAATCTTCAAAATTTCTCTGTTCTTGCTTTCATCCGTCACAAGAATAAGGGAGGCCTTGGCAACATCATCAGGCCTATAAATAAAGCAATGACAGTGAAGTCATTTTCACTAAACGAATACTTTTCACTGCAAAATCGCTACTGAATAGTACAAGGACTGTTAACTCACACCTCAAAGTCGTTTCTCTCCAGAACCATCTCCTTCAGTCCCTCTAATTCCGAAAACTGTCCAAAATGGTCCTCTAAATTAGGAGAGGACAGCAGGTTAGTCTTCACCACACCTGGACAGAGAATGTTGATCCTCACCCCAAGGTTGGACTTCATAGCAACAGCCTGTTAAACATACACAATTAATCAAATCTGCCTGATTATTAGCAAGAGACGTACTCCCAATTATCTTTCAAAGCTTCAAGTTCATGTGAGTTATTGCTGTCATTATATTACAATTGGGGGGAAAAAAAGCTTGTATTCATTATATATTACTAACCATACTTCAATAGCACGGCTGAATCCCACAACTGCATATTTAGTCGCTCTGTAGATGGGCGCTGTTGGCACAAACCACAGACCTGTTGACAATATGAAAAAGTTGAGTAAATACAGTGTGTATATATATATATATATATATATATACATACACACACACACACACAGATGAACCTAGTGTTGTTTTTGGCGGCCTGTTTTAATTTTAGTTTTAGTCTAGTCTTTGTGTGAAGCTGTCATTTTAGTTTTTATTAGTTTTAGTCACGTTCATACTCTTTTTAGTCTAGTCAAGTTTTAGTCAACTAAAAGTCTGAGCATTTTAGTCTTATTTTAGTCAGAATTATCCATGATTATTTTCGTCTAGTTTTAGTCGACGAAAACTGATGACATTAGTCTAGTTTTAGTCAATGAAAATTGTGTTTTAGTCTCTTTTTAGAAATGCAATTCTATTTAACCCAGTCAATATAGTATAAGTACCTAGTAATATAGACGAAACCAAAATTTTTGCTTTTTGCTTTTTAGTTTTTCGGGTAACGTTAGGTCTAACACACAGTAGGGCTATTGAAAGATTTTTTTTTTTTTTTTTACCAATTATCGAAATAATGTTTAATCCTAGAAAGCTATTATTATCAGAGGATACATGAGCATAACGGTTATCAGATCAATGAATGAGAGGGCAGCATTACCAGAGTTGCCCATTTACCACACCATGTTACAACACAGTAGGGCTTTTTTTTTTTTTTTTACCAATTATCGAAATAATGTTTAATCCTAGAAAGCTATTATTATCAGAGGACACGTGAGCATAACGGTTAGCAGATCAATGAATGAGAGGCCAGAGTTGCCCATTTACCACACCTTGTTACAGCACAGTAGGGCTATTGCAAACAGAAACAATACTGTACTACATAGATATTTCCTGTCAGCTCGATTTTTGAGTGGACTTTGCTGTTCCGATGAGCATGAACGGTATATGAGTGGAGCACTCACATGGGCCGTGAGCGACTGAGCGGAGCGCACACAGTGTTGCCAACTAATTTTCAGCGGAAGTTGCTAAAGGAAGGTTGATTTGTTGCTAAAAGTTGCTAAATGACGTTGCGATGTCATTGCGTGGTGACGTCATTGCGTAATCACAATGCAAAATTGTGTCTGCATTAAATAAATAAACTTGTATATGTTAATTTAGATGTGTTTATAAAATTATATAAATGCATAATATAATATTAAAATATAAATAACTAATTTTAAATACAACATTTAATTATTTAACATTTTCACATTTTTGAACGATTACAATTTAAGTTTATTTTTATTAGCTAGTAAACTAGTAAAACTACTCATTCTGAACAATTATAGTTTCAAGCAGTGTATTAGTAGTTAGTATGCTACACTCTAAGAAAAGTCTGTAAAAATAGGGCAAAATCTACTAATATGAAGGAATTTTCCGTAATTATTATTCACAGGTTTTTACCTACATTTTAAATTACGCATTGTATTTTGTGTTTTCGGGTTACATGGTTACAATGGATAACGGATAAAGTCCTGGAAAATTACTAGTACCTTTTTCATTTTTCTTACCGTGCACTAACTGATCAACAATCTCAAGTACAAGCTACTAACAAGGTGTATCATCAATGAACAATTATTATTAAATTAAACAATTGCAAATAGCAGCTAACTTAATTCATGTGATGTGGGTACTGCTAGGCACCTTTGGTTTCCTCTTTTTGTGTAATTTAGATGGAAAATGTGTGCTTTTTTATCGTTTGAGTCACTTATCAAAAGTTGCTAAATGTTGCCAAATAAATTTCAAAAATAGCTAAATTTGTTGCTAGGTGCTTTTGTAAGAAAATGTTGCTAGGGTAGTCTGAAAAGTTGCTAAATTTAGCAACAAAATTGCTAAGTTGGCAACACTGAGCGCACACGCATAGAGCCGGATAATACGCAGAGCGTCACATCACGTGACAGTGAAACCTGAGCGGTGAACTAATTTTCGGCAGCCGGAATTTCAGTGCATCTCTAATTATTGGACATTTTAGCAATTTAAAAATATTAAAAAAGGATTTTTTACATGGCACCCCGGTTGGGAAACACTGATCTAAATAATGCAGCGAGTGGGGCTTGAGGAAGTGACGTCGCCTGCGTCTGCGCAGTGCGACCTGATGCAGCCCCTGAAGTGAGACACAGGAAACAGAAATACTGCAAAATAATAATAATAACGCGACTAAACGAGACGAAATAACGTTATAACATTTCGTTTCGTCTCGTTTTGGTCAACGAAAATGAAGAGACATTTTAGCATAGTTTTTATTTTGTAAACCACATTTAGTCTCGTTTTTATTCGTCAACAATATTGCATTATACATTTAATTATAGTCATCGTCACATGACCAGCATTTACGTTGCGTCTCGTCTCGTTTTCGTCACGTGATAAAGGTTCGTTGAGACGATATTTAGTCATAATTTTCGTTGACGAAAGCAACACTAGATGAACCATTACATTATGACCACCCATCTAATAACCTGTAGGACCTCCTTTAGCCCACAAAACAGTGGCCATGTGAATTTGAATTTGGAGCATGGTGCATTATCATGTTGGTAATGGCCAAGGAACACAGTTGCCACGAAAGGGTGCACTCCGCAACAATATTCAGATACTTGACAGCTGTCAGGGATTGTGCTGTTGGGATAGTGGGGCTTAAAGTGTCCCAAGGAAGCATCGCCCGCAGCATAACACCACCACTGCCGGCTTGTTTCTGCTCAAAAGTGCATCCAGGTGCCATAGCCTCTGTTGGTAATCGGTGTATCCTCGCTCGCCCGTCTATGTAATGCACCAGGAATCTTGATTCATCAGACCACTTTCTTCCCATCATCCACGGTCCAATCTTGATGATCTTGGGCCCATTTCATGCTTTGTTGGTGATGGTGTGCAGTTAGCATGGGGACCCGGCTGGGTCGTTGGCTACGCAGGCCCATACGCAAAAGGCTGTGATGAATTGTGTGCTGTGAGCTGTGACACCCTGGTCACCACTTTTGTAGCTGCTGGTGATTTGTCGCACAGTGGCCCTGCTGCCACAGCCTGAGCTGCGTACAACACACGGCTGGACTACGGTTTATCGTTTGGCCATCCGTTCACCACATTTGATATGTACTCACTACAGCATCACGTGAACAACCCACAAAGCGTGCTGTTTCTAAGATCGAAGTTCCGAGGCACCATGCCATCAAAATTTGTCCTTTATCAAACTCAGATAAATCGGCAGCTTGAAAGCCAGTACTCAGGTGGTACATATACTGCTCTGTGAACTGCACCTGCGGCACCATTCGGTTGCCAGGCGTGCTCATTGCTAGGCTGTATATATATATAGCTATTATTTATTATATTATTTGATCTCGATTTGAAAAACGGAATATTGTGAAATATTGTTACAATTTAAAATAACTGTTTTCTATTTTAAATGTAATTAATTTCTGTGATGGTAAAGCTGAATTTTCAGCAGCATTACTCTAGGCTTCTGTGCCACATGATCCTTCAGAAATAATTCGAATTGGTTGATTTGGTGCTCAATTATTATCAGTTATTACTGGTTATTATTAACAGTGGTCCTTATTCTTATCAATGTTGAAAATAATTTTTGCTGCTTAATATTTTTGTGGAAATCATGATGCATTTTTTCCTTTAATGAATAGAAAATCCAACAGCATTTATTTGTTAAATATAAATATTTTGTAACATTATACATGTCTTTACAGTCACTTTTAATTAAATCATCATTGCTGAATAAAAGTATTCATTTATTTTTTTAAATCATACTAACCCCAAATATTTGAATGAAAATGTATCACTGTTTCCACAGAAATATGAAGCAGCACAACTGTTTTCAACATTGATAATAATAAGAAATGCTTCTTGTGCACCAAAATTAGCATATTAGAATGATTTTTGAAGGATCATGTGACACTGAAGACTGGAGCAATGGCTGCTGCTTGTATCACAGAAAAAAATTACATTTCAAAATATATTAAAATAGAAAAGTTATTTTCAATTGTAATGATATTTCACAATATTAAATTTTTTTCTGTATTTTCAATCAAATAAATGCATTTGTTTATATAATATACATATTGTTAAAATATATAATATACATATTATTAAAAATATATTAAAAAAATGTTATTGATTGACTCATTTACTGTATTAAGTTCCAAACCTGCAGTAGATGATATGTTGATAATTGCCCCTTTGCCATCAGGATTGTCCTTCATTTACTGCAGAGCCAGATGTTCCCCTCCCCAGCCCAACCTATAACAGCCACATGAACAGTGCAACATGTTGCTAGAGCAGGGGTAGGCAAGTTCGGTCCTAGAGAGCCGCAGTCCTG